CCATTATTAATTGGATATATGTTACTCTAGTTGCCCACCAAAGTTGGTGCGTTTATCACCAAATACACAATTGTAATAAAATCTCAGCTAAGCAGTTGCACTGTAAGGTCCATCTCGAAATATTGGATTATTATATTCAAAACAATGTGTTTGGACAGAATTTTATATGTTAGTGAAGTTGTGTAGGTTTCACATATCCCTGAACTAAACATCAGAATATAATTTGAGAAGTTTATTTTTACTTCATTTATTTTTAGTATACTTGACTAAAAAACTTGGAATAAGAATTTAGTACCAACACCATAAGTTTAGCTTTACTATATAATATTTAATTAGCATTTGAGGTATAACTATTATAAAGTACAACAGAAACAACAAAGATAAATGTATAAAACAACCCAAATTTGTATAAATTCTCATAATTTATACGTCAGATAATACAGATCATGTTATGAAATCAAGTATGAATACTAAATATTACCAAACAATTCTCTGAATATTACTAATAAATTTGAGGATTTGCAATCTGTCTGTGCTGTTTATTAGCAGCAATCAGTTTTATTGTTACTAGTTTTATGTTACTGTGGATGCTATGGTTGGCTTGTATGCATTCCAAAATATTAGCTTGACCCATAGATACTATGATTGGCTTGTACGCATTCCAAAATATTAGCTTGACAGTTGTTGAGAAAAATTCATAACATAGCTGTTCTGATTGGAAGAATTAGTTACATGCATGTCACGTGAGAGGTTATTAATGTGATAGGGATAGTACTCTACATAGGCTCCAACTTTGCACTGAATCATCGACTAATGGCAGTATAATGTATCCATGCATTGATGCCATCTATTGGTGTAAATCAGTAATAGTAAACTCCTTCAGAGCTAACTATTACTGATTTGAGGCTGGAAATGAAACTTGGTGTGGCACAAGCTTGTCAAAGTAAAGAAATTGAAATTGTGGGAACATGGTTACGACATGACTCGGAAATTGTCTTGTGCTGACAAGAAAGTATGTAGCTGGATAATCAAAATACTTATCCTAACAAACCATTTAGTCATAATAATTGAAAATGATAGCTATCAATCAGTACATGAGAGGTAAATATTGTTTTTACAGAAAAAATGGTGCTTGATCCATAATGAACAATATTTTGCAACAAGTCGTACTCTTAACCCTATGCAAATAATAATTTGTTATTGCTGGTGAGCATTTGTAGTTTTAATTACAATGTTATAGTTAATGATCACCAACTTTATGCTACAAAGTTTTGAAAAATCATGAAATAATTCTTAAGATTTATGAGGGTATTTAAGAATTATTCATGAATTTTTGTTCTGATGACAGTGTGGAACCCTGACAGGTACAGGTTGTAAAAATAGACAGGCATGAAGAGCCAATTCTGCTGGGGTGTAAACCACTAAAACCATGAATCTGTAGTGATATGTGGTTGAATTATGTCAAATTTGATAAGTCTCAACACTGGACAAAATTTAAATAAATCCACAAGCATATTGGCCAATTTTATATCTGTTTTTTAACTCCCACAGATAATAAAAATTTAGGATTAGATTTTGAAGCTTAATGATGTAATAATTGATGTGTTAAGTACTTGCTATATCTAAAGAAATTTGTGGTGCCTTCTTTTAGAAATGTAAAATGTCTTCTTTTTGTTACCTTATAAATATTTAGTTTACATAAATGCACGTTAAGATCTGTATTTGTGCGATAAATATGGTGCTTGTGTTAAACAAATTAAATTTTTGGCTAGGAAATTTATTGTCATATGTTGAGCAATTAATAGAAAAATCCAAAGCATTGATCAATATGAATGTGAAATATGCTTAATCTATTTTACTAGTAAACGACAAAAAGTTCACCATTCGGCACTCAGAGTATGGCAGTCTGACATACCCCACCCCCAAGAAGAGGTACATTTTAAATAGTTTTGTGTCATATGTATTTTAACAACTGTTAAGCTCAGTAAACGCATTTTTTCAGTGAATATAATAAATTTAAAATAGTTTAATCTTAGAACAAATTTTATTTCAAAAGATGTTAAATTGAACTTCAATTTTAGTCACTTGTAATAATGATCATATGATGATAGTTTCAATTTAAAAGTGTGTCCATTCATCTGTAGTATACACGTTTGTATATAAAAGAGTCCAGTATGAAGTTATAAAAACTATATCTTAAAACCTGTCTCATTAATAAAATGTAATTGAGAGTTAGAAAATGAAAGTGGGTAGCTTAAATAGAAACATTTTCTGATAATCTGAGATATTAAAATTATAATTAAATTCAAAAAAATACAAATATGTATATTGATTAGATTATACAAGTTTTTTGTTCAAGTTTGTACCAGTGTTTGACACATGCTTTTTCAATGTTTATACTTTAGTACTTAGACTGTTTGTGGGCCCAGATTGTCAAGCTTCAAGGTGATAAGTGGATTGAAAGACACATCATTCGACCTTACTTAGCCTTTGATGGTGTTCTTTGTGAAGCTCTACAACATAATATTCCTCAGCTTACAATTCCACCTCACCATGATGAGTGCACTTACCCATTTCCTTTTGTTGTGTTCAGATTCTTTGATTATACGGACTGTCCTGAGGTGAGGGATTGAGAGTAGTGTTTGCTTCTAGATTAATATACATAGAAGTAATAGATGAATTAGGATAAAGAGAATTATGTTGAAATCTAGTATCTTCCAGGCACATTATATTCAATTCTGTATACTAGCCTGTTTAAATGGTACTATAAATGGTCTCATTTCATCTTTAACCTTGCGTAGAGGTTATTGCGTTTGACATATAGATGTGTGATACCACAATAAAGCACAATATATCATTTATGCAATAATTCCTTTTGGTCAAGGCAAAGTATAACTGAGGAAATTTAAAACACCAAGCAAATTTATACTTGGCATCAGCTAAAGCTGGATTGTAAACGGACTGTTTCTCCTAGACTTTGTCAGGAGTTATCTATGTTTCACAGCTATATGAAAGCGACATTTAATGACATGTATAGCATAAGTACACATTTGTTCGATCTGCATGGCAAATAATGCACACACGTGTACTATCTCCATGAAGCTAATGAAATGAAATAACTGCCATGTGGGGTGCAGGTATGTTTATTAGTATATACACAGGGTGGGTAAATCTTATTATAAGGTTGGTGGTAGTATACAGTTGCTACTAAAGTAAATATTATAAAGATAATTGAGACCAATTTAATTATTGTTTGCTTCAGAGTAAGTGTTCTAAATAAAACAACTGTCTAGTCAGTTTTACCCACCCTATATATGTATATACACACACACACAGTATATATTTAAGTCTGATTTGTTGATTATCATTTCATAATTTTTTTTAACTCTTAAAATAAGTTATCAGATTTGATTGATATTGTCATCCATATATTATTTTGTTATAAAGCCACTAATTTTATCTGATCTTTTGCTACATATTATTAACCTTTGTTGTTTTTCTTATTACAATAACTAGTTATAAAAAATTCCATAAATTGTGGAGAAGAAAAACTGTATAAAAAATATATATTTTTATGTGTTAATATAATATCAGCAAAAAAAAACTGTTATTTTCAGAAACTACCACCAGTGAACATGAAAATCAAGGCTATAAATGTATAATTACTAACCTCTAGAAACAAGTACATTAGGCTAAATCAGTATTGTTAACTTTATCAGAATTATGCACAATATGCTAATTTTCACAGAAATCTCTTAGAAATGTCTGTGGCAATATTGAGAACTGATCAATAATTTTTGTGATATGACATTACAATAAAAATTGATAATAGCTGGAGTCATGCTTCATAGGCCTAAGTGTTAAACATTATAAGGCTAAACTCAAATTATGTAAATGTACTTCTGAAATACTAAAAGCCTTTTTCCTGTTGAATTACTATTATGCTATTAACATACTCGCCATGGGCAGGTCAAAGTGCATACATCACAACTTTTGGCTAATAAATCAAATATTACATAAGTTTTAAGTTCTTAATTTTATAAAGAAATATTTGAAAAAATTCTCATCTCTCCTAGTATGAGAATTCTGACATTTGCTCTCTAGGTCTTCCCTCTTCTCATAATTTATGTATCATTCCTCCGGTCCCCAGTGGAACAGTGGTAAGTCTACAGATTTACAGTGCTGAAATCCGAGGTTCAATTCCTGTTTCTTCGAGAAGTACAGAATTTATTGTAAATTACTCATTATAATAGAGATAAAACTCAGACAAAGCTTAATTCTTATAGCCTTCAATCTTATTTGTTAATGGAGTTATAAACTAGAAAATCAGACCCAATTGCCATACCCACCTGCCTCTTTTTCACATATTTCCAGTAGTTCTATCTGATGTTTTATACTACATTATTTATAACCAATAGAAAGCTAAGATTTTAATCTATCAAATGACATCCCATATTACATTGTTTTCTCTACAGGGCATTATCTATTTTCTCTTTCAGTTTCAAATTTGATCTTGCAGAAATCACATTGAGGAGTTTAGTTGTATTTTTAAAAAGCTCTTATTGGATACTTAGGAAGCCAGAAAAATTAAAATATTTATAAGGCAGTGTTTTTAGGTGCATTATTTAATTAAATAAAAGACTTAGTGTAATAGTACCATTAATATAAAAAGTAGGCTTAAATTTTGTCGACAATTGACAGCAACAAAAAACAGAAGATCCAGATAAGTATTGTATTTCTTATTTTTCATGAGCATTCTTTGTTTATTATTGTAAAAGTAACTAAAATATAGAAATTAGAAACTTGTTAGATTAGATCAGGTAAGGTAAATAAAAAAATAATAAAAAAAATTCTTCATGAGGTCTGATTACGAGTAGCTTGTGTGTATGGAAACATGAGCTACACCTTTGCCAAGTGATTTAGAACTTGTTTGGTGGGATTATTAGTTAGACATTATTCAAAGGGCAATAAAACAGTAAAATTTAAATAGAAACAAATGTATACATATATGATCTTTAAGCTATTTAGGATACGCAACTGTTTTTTCATGTTACAATTTGTAGTCATTCTAGAAAAAAAAAGGGTAATTTAGATTTATTTCATATCTGTTATGATGTTCATGAAGTTGGTCAAAATGAACGAATGCATATAGAGTTAGGGTAGAGAAAATAACAGATAAAATATAATGTTTTACTGATAAAAAAATAACATTTATTTAGAGGATTTTAGAGATTACCTAAAGCAAATTTGCCAATTTCCAAATAATAAAAATTATTTTTGATCTTAGCATGAAAATCACTTTACAATTGGAGCAGTCATCACTTTGATTCCATGTGTTCACAAATAACTTCTTAGTAGAAATATTTATTAAAATATCTAATTTGTACAAAAGACTTGTAATGTTTACTGAAAGCTTGCAAAATTTCATGAAGAGACACATAACATATTAAAAGTTGTAGTATGGAAATTCTAAAGGTAAATTTGAGGTCACAAACTCAATCAAATTAACCAAGGCTGAAACAAGAGAGTTAACAACAATGTGACGTTGGGTTCTGTATGTCAGTGAATCAGTGCAGATTACACATCAACTTACACAGAGTTCTCCACTCTCCCAATTCCATGTGACTAATAATATTGTGCATGCACCAGAATATACATAAACTGCTTTCCTGTCATAATCCAGATTTTTCTGGTTGAAAGTTGTGCTGTTAACTTTGATCTCTATAAGTTCTGAAATAAATATTAATTCTGATGCAAGCAAATGGTTCTACCAATATCTGGAAACTTACGACTTTTCTGCAATTCTTACTCATGCTTTCTGCCTCTAGCTTACTGGAAGATCTTATTTAGAGCATTGTTGATACTTTTAGAAACCAACAAAATGTTAATAGTCTTTACGTTCCTTTCGTTTGTCATGCAAGATGAGCCATTTAACAGGTTCATGTTTCACTACTCATCTTCTTTATCAAGTTTTTGCCCTAAGACTGATTATTGTGGTGGGATCTTCTTTGTGGTCTTCTAGTTCGACTCATTATTAGTTTTCTGCACTGTACATTATGACTTGACTCATTTTGAGACTTTCTTCTTCAGCAATTATTAAATATTAAGCATTCTTGTTTTCCTAATTGTTTTAATCAAGATCAGATTTTTTGCCTCATAGTCTTCCTTACCTGTGGCTCTTACTGATGTAGTTTTCATTACCATGTAGCTTTTAAGTTCTTTTAACATCTTAGCTCAATATGTTGTATTGTACATCTCTCCTCTGTATCATTTTGTATATGCAGAAATTTCACCTGAACTTGTTTCCCATTCAGAAGAATTGCAGCAGCAGGAGCTGGTTAGAGTTCTAGCTTTCTGTGTAATTTCTGGTCATTACTATTTGAGATGTAATCTTCGTTCCCAGCTTTGCCTTCCTTGTCCATTTATTGGTCGACAACCACTACCTACAGGATAAGGAGCTTAAGGCTATAGTTTCATTTTGGAATCGCAGTTGAGGCATTGGACTCCATAGCAGTGTTCTGTATATGTTTGTAAATGAAATGTGTAAAGGAGAAAATGGTTGCTTCTAATCAAAACTTAAGACATAATTCTGTTATTGATAGTTACGATAGTGTAGATTATCACACATTTTTCTTTGGTTCAAATACTTCAAGTACTACAGAAACAGTTATAGAAGTAAAAATACCAATGTTGTCATACACAATGATCAGGGCTGAATCAGAAATAGATTCTGCAATTCAAAATATTTGTTCAAAGTTTCTAACAAAGAAAATAAAAAGCAAGTGGCATTTTTAAAATTTCAACAAGATGTTTAGACAGAGCATGGATAGAGGAAGCAATGACTTAACTATTTTAAGAACTTAAATATTCATTCAACTCTGTTTGGCTTATTTCTATAACATTCGTTTTTAAGATAACACAAGTGTTTGTATCATTAAGCAAATATATAAGGGTTTGGTGTTGGAATTAGTACAGTTAAGCACTAAGCTGGTAAAATTCTTGATACTGTCACAAACTTTACAAGATGTGGATTTTATGAAGGTTGGCACACTGAGCAAAATTATAAACTGTTATTCAATAATTTGATGGAGCATCCATTTCCCCATATAAAAGCCCTTGTTGTATATGTATGTTTGTATATGTAACGATTAATTATTGTGCATTTTTAGCTTTGGCTTTTGGGTGCACTGTAAGGAGACTCATTGAAACACTAGCAATCTTTAAACCTTGGATAGTTTCTAACATTTTTGTTACTGATTTATGTTGATGTTGGTTTAAAGCACTTTTTTTTTTATTAAAGGATTTTTCCCCATTAAGCAGCTTTATAGGAAGCAGGCTTAAATCATTCGTCCATACAAGTTAGGTGAAGTTTATCTCTATAAATTATAAACCACTCATGAATTTTTTCAAAAGAAATGTTTAAGCAATTGTAATGAAACAAACACATTGTAAAAAAAAAAAGAAGAGAGAGAGAGAAAAAAACTTGTAATTCCAAAAAATATATATAAATTTGCCTATTCACAAAATTGGCTGTTCAAAGAAAATAGTTAATAATTTTTCCAGCATATAAAATAGTGTTAAATAAGAATAAATTCTCATTTTCGGTGTTCTATGTTTGTTATTAAACATAATTACATGTAACCTAAACTTGTGGGTATACTTATGAACTGATCATATCGCAACATAAAGTTGCACAATTCGGGTAGCTCCAAAATGAATACATAGGTTGGTTCGATATGCATAGTTACTTTCTGAAAGTGCAGAATTATACATCTATACAATTCCAAACAAAAATTAAATGGTTGACTTGGGAAACAACTGGGATTTAGAAAAAAAACTTTATGATTTAGGGTCCAATATTGCCTGGTGCCCACTCCATAGAACGCTTTTTGATTGAGGAACATCTTCATAGAATAATTGATCAAAACTATGAAGACAGAAAAGCCTGGTAAGTTAACTTTTATATAAAAAAATACCTTAAACTTGTCTCAGTATATAAATTATGTTGATGTGATTGTATTGTTTGCTTCATCATAATTAGAGAACCAACCAAAAAAATCATAAAATTTTTACCATATTTTTATTTATGAATTATTTTATTTCCTTGCAACCAAATATTGCTGTTTATTAATTTATTTCATTGGAAGATAGACTCTAGGATAAAACTATACAAAAATAATAATTCTGAAGATAATTAATTTGCATACATTGGAACATAGAGCACTTTTGTAAGGCCTCAAGTTTTGCCCAGTATTGTTGAAATCTTTTAATTTTTCAGTTTTTATTAAATGTTTTTATATGTTGCTTTTACAAGGGTATAGGAAAGAAATGTTTATTTAGGTTTTGTATCCTGTTAAATGCAATGAGAATAGGCCAGCTGCATGAGTGGCTACTAGTTTCAATTAATTCTAACATTTCTGTTTTTTAGTGCAGGTGCTCTTCTGAGTTTTCCTGGGAAACATAAGCTTCCCATTGAATACATGATTACTGAGGTAAGAATGGTGATTTTCATTGTTATTTGCTGAGCTTTATGTTTTCAGCTGAAACATGGAAGAAGCTGTTGTATTTATTCTGAAAAATAGTATGCAATTTCAAATATGTTTTTAACATACATTTTCAAAAAACTTTGTTTTGAAACTTGGACAGTAATATTGAATATAGTGAAATTAAAATAAAATATGCTTGTAAAAAGAGCAGAAAGATAATCAGTGTTTTTATTCATGAATTGTTGTAATCAGCTGTAAAAGAAATATGTATGTCCAGAATTTTCAGATTTAAGTGCATAAGGTGGACATTGATTTTGTACTTTCAAACAATATTTTCCAAGATAACACAATGTCAATTTAGGATACCTTATTAGTAGAAGAGAAAATGTATAGATTAATTTTCTGCTTTAATTATAATTTTTATATGTTGGGCCATGACCTGTATATCCAAACCTTTGGCAAGCTTTCATTTATGTCTGCTCTCCTGTGACAAATTTCTGATTATTTGATATTCAAAATAATGTTTGAATATAGAATTCAAGGGTGCTCCATACATTTTTTTTTTGTGTGTGTCATAAATGAAGTCTGTTTTTGTTCATATATAAAAATAGAATGTGTAGAAATTTGGTAGTAATACTTAATATTTCAAATTACACTCTCTTGAAAAATATCATGTGCAATACACTATTGTATGAAAAAGAAATTACAGAAACATTTGTATCACATATTTCATTCATGTTATTTGCAACAAACATCCAATTTTTGGAATTGTACACAAGTATTTCGTGCATTCTGTCAAAACTATCTATCTTATGTTGTAGCCTCTAAAGTTTATAAACCAGAATTAATTGTTATTATTGTAGGTGATCTTCTCTCAACTTTTTACCTTACCAGTCCCCAAGTATTTAGAGATCTTTCATGGATCATTGATACTGGAACTTTGCAGAGTTCAGCCAAGCACCATGCCTCAAGCTGTATCCTTATAACCCATGTATAAAAACATGTTATAGTAGACAGAACTGTTTTTTTTTCTTTTTATCTTTCATAATGTTAAACTTGTGAATTAGAATTCTTACTAAAGTTATAATTACATTAGAATTATGTTTTTTGTCTGTTTGTATGATATCTATAAAATTGCAGAAAATCTAAAATTACACCAAGGGAGTTGAGTGTTTTAGAAATTATGGGTCGACCAAGATTGTTCGGTTTGTGTATTTTTGGTAAGAGATAAAATATACCTGAAAAAGTTTGTCTGGATATCAAATACTGAAAAGTTTCTTTGTTAATTTTATTGTTTTGGAGAAGTTCTTTAAGTTTATCAGTTAATAAACTGAGCTGTAGGATCATGTGAGAGTTTTTATAGAAATTAGTGTCCTCTGGTTACCGGTTCAATTCTGTGATATAGTAATCTTTGTTAAGAATAACAATAGCTCCACTCTTGTCTGCTGGCTTTATTATGATATTATTGTTCAATTCAAGATTGTTTAGAGCAGTTCTTTCATTTTAGTTAATATTATTATAACATTGCTTGGAAAATTTTAAGGTATATATTATGTCATTTTCTACTGCCTTAATATAACTCTCTAAATGTGGTTCTCTGATGGAGGTGTCCATAAAGACTTTTCTTTGAGGTTTGGTGGGTGTTGACTTTCAGTAGGGTGGGGTTTGTTCTGAAAAAATTTGCAAATTTCTAGAGAATTCATGCAGGACAGAAAGAAGTTAAGGCTCATTAACATAGCTGTTATTTGGGCAGAAGTTGGGACCTTTACTAAGGAGACAAGTTCTGCTTCATAGAGAATTATATCTGAAAGATTAACAATGCTAGAGGTATGTGGGGAGTGTTCGTTGTTATCTGTACGTTTTATGAGGTCACTTTTACAGATTTGTTAGTTTAAGAAGGCTTATGCGTATTAGAGGATAAAGTGTTTTTAAACATTTTTTAAAGCTATTTATTGTGAGATAAAAGGATTTTGATAGTATCTAGTAGATTGCTTGATACTATGGTAGTTTCTTTATGATGAAGAGGATTCAAAAGAATGCTGTTAGAATTGGTGTTATTGGTAGGAAACTGATTTTAGTTATTCTTTTTAAGAATGAATGTATCAGTTATCTCTGTAAATTTTTATAGTTGTTTTTCTTCCAGCAAAGGATTGTATGTGATAATAGTGGAAAATTTCTTTATCTAGAATTTTGACAGAAGGTTTTAGTAATATTCATGAGTTCTAAAGAGGTGTTTTCAAAGATCTGTTGCCACTTGTTGCAGAAATTCTGATCGTGTGCTCCTATTATGATTGGTGCATTTAGTATTAGAGATTGAGGTATGTTTTGAGTTTTTTATGTTATACACTAGCAACTTGGCTTGTTGACAATGTCTTGTGCATTTCTTAGTGAGTTTTCTAGGTTTTTAAGATAGTTGTTTTCTGCTATAGTTGAGTAATTTGCTGCTTGATTCACATTGAGTGTTGACAGATATTGGTGTGAGAACATCACTTTTATCGTAAGATAGCGGGTGGAGAAGTTTAAGGGAAGGAGGGGGGGGAGTAGCTGTCTTCTTCAGAGTGTGTACTACACATCGACAAAGTATAAACAGTGCAATGCTGGTCATTGTGAGATTTGATGCTAATGGATGAAGGATTAGTGTGTTCTAATATATCACTCATTCGATTACACCACTATTCCCAGTTTGCTCCTGAAGAAGCAAGGTCCACCTTTCAAAAGTGCTTGGGTTATAGGGTGTTTATCATCTTGTATCAAGACTTCTTGAACTTACATGTTTTTCTGAAATCATAAGATTACACCAAGATATTCAAGTTATTTTATTACATGTAAATTTTAGGATGTTTTTGAGACACCTTATAGGTTTCATATGAAAGCTGAAACTCATTTTAATGATCACACAGTACATCTTTATTATTTAGGAATTGTAATGGAAAATTTAAAAATAAACGTTTGAAAACTGAAAGAAGGTATAATATGTATTTAGTGTGTGGGGTACATGAAATCCAGACTTTTGGTTTGAAGTCAAACATGAGTTATTTTTAAAACTAAACAATCAGCTATTTAAGAAGCTTTTAGGTAATGTATTTTTCTTTTCTAAATCTGATGAAGCTTAAAGAATGAAATGTTATTAAGAAAACTGAACAAAAAGGACAACTAAATAATCCATAGGAAATAATGCTGACATGCTCACTACGTGAAAATTGACTTTAACTAAAGCCGTTTGGTAAATAGTATTATGTACCATATGTATATTTTGATGTAGCATTAAATGCTTTAAAGCAAGATCAATTTTTTATCTACATAAATCTAATTCAACTGCCTGAGGGCCTTCAGAACTTTTTAAAAATCACAATTAAACTTCCATTGTTATTTCAAAACAGCTTCTTTCTCAACCATACTATTTGGTATGTCTTTCTTGTGAATCATTCTATGGTTGTAATACAATAGAAAGTTTGGAATACAATGTTTTTTGTTTGCATTTATCCAAAAATTTATTTAAGAATCATTGACTAGATAATGGTCTGTTATTAAAAATAGATAAATGTCAGCAATCTTCAAATTTATTGAAATCATGGAAGTAATAGTGCATGTTATATTATGGATTTGTTAGCATTGCAAATATAATTCTACAGATTTTTGCTAGATGCCAGATAGTGCATGACTATCTTGTTAAAGTAATCATGGAACTTGTTTATGTTATCATATTTCAGTATACAAACAACTTATTGTTTTGTCTGCATAAATGTTTTTTATGTTTCATTATTGTAATATAGGGATTTTATAATGAATGCCAGCTGTTTGCCATTATCTAAGATTGTAATAGGACATATTTACAGAAGAAATGAGACTATTTACTATCTATTAGATAGGAAAGTGAACTGATTGCTTTTCATTTAACTCTCTCAATCTCAACATGGGCTCAGTCACTTTGATTTGACTGACCACATGACCTCTTTGTACTCATATAAAGTCTTTATAGATTTAATACTACTAATTTTTAATATAATATGCATATCTTCACAAAATTTGGTGGGCTTTCAGTAAACATTGTAAGTTTTTCACATACAAAAAAGTATATCAAGTCTGTGTGCAAAGTGACTTTCGTGTTAAGATTAAAAATACTTTTCTTCATTTTAAAAACATCAAATTTGATTTATTTAACCTCTAGAACTTCCTAAATACATTTCAAATGTTTGTTTTTACTAAAACTTAATTTTATTTGTTATTTTCTCTACCCTAACTGTACAGCATTGGTCAATTTGACTGACCTCGTGACTACCAAAAATGAATTAAAATTTACCCTCTTTTTCTTTCTAGAATGACTTCAAATTGTAATATGAAACTACATTCGTTTATCCTAAGTAGTTTTAAACTCGTAACAGTATACATCTATTTATAATTAAATTTTATTGTCTTGAACCATGCCTAACTACTATTCGTTGTAAATCACTTGAGGAACATGAAGCTCGTGTTAAATAACCTAAAGAGATCCTTATTTTTATATTTTAGGTACTTTTATAAAAATAAATAAAGAATAAATATGAAAAACAAGAAATAAAGTACTTACCCGATTCTTCCTTTTTCTTACTGTCAATTGTCGATGACACTTAACCCTTCTTTTTTTATACTAATGTTAGTAATGCACTAAATATTTTTTATTTATTTAAATAATGCACCAAAGAACATAGAATAATAACATGCAAAAAGTGGACAATTTTTCTGTCTTTCTAACTATGCAACAAGAACCATTACAAGATCAACCAAGGTAGTCATTATCTTTCCCATGGGAACGAAGCTCATATTAACAGTGAAACTGACAAATCTCAGTTCAGAAAACAATATATATTTACATATATACACACACACAGATATGTTTTCTTGAGAGAGAGAAAACCATCCAAATCCTATAAATATTTTTGATGATGTTTTACTCAGCATTTCTTTGATGCCTATAATGAGAGTCTTCAAAAACATCAAATGTCAGATTAACAACAAAGTGATAAAATCAATGCTTGAGGGGGTGGGGTAAATGGGATGGCTTTTGAAATTTTTGAAGCTGAGTATTATATTTCTTGTTTTTCATGTGTATTCATTATTTATTATTATTATAAGAATAATGTAAATGTAAAAATTAGAAACTTATTAGGAAAGATAATGAAAAATGATGCTAATAAAAATTATTCGTGAGGTATATTAGTGAGCAGCTTGTGTGTTCAGTACAGTAATGTGAGCTGCACATTCAGTGAGTGATTTACAACTTGTGTGGTGGTTCAAAGGGCAGTAAAACAAAGTTAAGTATGAAGAGATGTATACAGTTACATGTTATGGTATGGAAATTTTGATGGTTACTTTGTGGTTACAAACTTACTCACACCAACTGAGCCTATAGTGAGAGTGTTTGTTTGCTCCATCCGTGTACTGCTTTGTCTCATTCCTACCTCACTCTTACATGAAATATTAACAAAAAATATATATATATATATATAGTTTTTCTCCCCAGTCCCTTGCTGTAAATATTTATTGCATTGTCTATTGAACCTGTTCTTTCTAAAAAGTTTACAGTCTTCTAAAAGTTAGTGGGATGGTTTTGGGCCCTACTGAAGAGAAGTGGGATGGCATCCTACCTCATCCTGCCATCCTTGAAGCATTGAATAAAATACTCTCAATCTCATCAAAGTGTTCAGTTACACAATACAGAAAGAGACAATGATGTGAGGGTAATCATTTCACTGTTGTAATTATACAAGTAGCCTGATATGTAAAATATGACACACAAACAAGCATAACCATTGATGAAGTTAAGTATGCAGAAATCCACTACTGATGAATAGTTAATAAATTGTATTTTTATTTTTACATTTCTTAGCAAAATACATAAATATTAATAGCATATCTCAATAAAATATATAAGGTATCTTCAAGGTTTTATAAAATACACTGAAGTATTAAATATACATAATCATTGTATGTGTTACAGAATGTCTATGGTAAAAACTTGATTGTTTCTCCTAGACCAAAACTTACACTTCATGCTAGCTAGTCACAAGTTTAATTTTAGCCCATCTGTAACATTTAAATTCGTGGCCAGCTGTATACAAACTTTTTCACTTTGAGTAATCTTTAGTGAGTGTTTCAGTGATCATGAGCAAACATGTAATTAGTAGACATTATTAAAAAATCTTAAGAGTTAGTGAGATAACTCACTGAAATGGTTAAGTTTCTTCATTTTACTTATATAATATTCAGGCTTAACTAGAGTTTCAACAAATAATCCGTACTTGTAGTACTGTGATATTCATAATTTTAAATACAAATTAAAGATTATATACAACAAATGTTACTGGATATTATCATATGTTGAAATTACTTAGGACTTTTATAGAAAATTACAAATCAGGCTGAAAAATAACCATACAAGTTGCCCAGTAATTTGCACAAAAGTTTAATTATGTGGAATAATTTAAATAGCACCATTATACAAAAATTTATTTCAGAATAAAATGTACCCATTGAGGAAAAACCCAAGGGTTAGCTGTTATCTAAAAGTGCTCATATATATATATATATATATATATATAATTAGCTCAAATGTGACACGTAAGCATTATTACAAATTAAACGTATAAGGTGACATAAAGTATGTGTTATTATGAATAGACTGTATTTATGGTGTTGCAAGGTTCTGTCTGTAATATAATGTGTTTCAAAGTATAAACATGTATATAAATCAAAAGGAAAATACCATATGTATTGCATATAATAAGTGATTATATGTTTGTTACAATCAGTGGATAAAATACAACATTCAGTTATTGGTATGATAAACTGGTCCAGATCAGTCTTCTTACTAGAAAATGGCCACACACACATTTGTAAAACAGTGACATTAAATTGTTTTTATATTGTGGTTTTACTATGTTATTGGTATGATAAAGTGGCCATTTTCTAGTAAGAAGACTGATCTGGATCAGACCCACATTTGTAAAACAGTGACATTAAATTGTTTTTATATTGTGGTTTTACTATGTTATTGGTATGATAAACTGATCCAGATCAGTCTTCTTACTAGAAAATGGCCACACCCACATTTGTAAAACAGTGACATTAAATTGTTTTTATATTGTGGTTTTACTATGTTATTGGTATGAGAAACTGATCCAGATCAGTCTTCTTACTTGAAAATGGCCACATCCACATTTGTAAAACAGTGACATTAAATTGTTTTTATATTGTGGTTTTACTAT